GGGCCCATGAGGCTAGAGAGGCTGATTTCCGGTTCCCCCTCTGCTGTGTGTCTCAGGGACACAGGCTGAGCCGGGATCCCCCCAGCACCTGGAGCCAGGGTCGGATTCTCTCCCCGGGGACGGAGCCCGGTGGGAAAGTGAAGATCGGGGCCTCGTCACCAGCATTGATAAATGTCACCTGCCCCTGGTCACAGGCCAAACAAACCCGGATCCTGCTGGGGACCCGGCTCAGGGGCAGGGGGGTCACAGGGGAGGTGAGAGCCCGGAACTGACCCCACCACCACTCCACAGCCCAGATCCCCCCCTCAGGGCTAAGGCTGATCCATCCCTTCCTCCCCACAGACTCTCTGGCCACCCCCACAGCCCAGTGTTGCCCAGCCCCCACCTCCACCTCCATCTCCCAGCAATGTCTCCCCGAGGTGAATCCCTCACAGCCCAGCACACAGGGCTGAGTGTCAAATCTCTCAGGGTTGTCGGGCAGATCCTGCTGTGTGTCTCCCCAGCTCACACTTTTCCCATCCTCAGACAGGACAAGCTCGGGATGGGCCGTGTCTGGATCCAGAGTCACATTCGCTGGGGGAAGAGAGAATCAGAGCGTCAGGGGCAGAGCTCGGCCCTGGGGGAGGCTGGGACCATTTCTCACACTCCCCAGCAGCCCCGGCCTGGCTGGGACAGGCCTGGATCCCAGGGAGCTGCCTCTGTCCTGGGCACCTGAAACTGAGCAGAGGTGTCAGTGTAGTTCCTGGGCATGAACTCAGCACTAAGGTTGGTGTCAGGAGTGTTTGTGTGACTTCAGCGTGGGAGCTCCTCACTGTTCAGTGTGTTGTTTTTAGGGCTGTGTGTGTCGGTGTCGGTTTGGTGGGTAACTTTAGCTACAATGTCATGAAGATGTTTTGAAACGAATTTTCTGATAATTTAAAGACAATCTCCAGCTGCAATCTCACCTTGTCTGAATGTTCCGAGGCATCCTCTTCTTTTTGTCTCTAGTGCAGACGGCACAGTGTCTGGAGGGGGGAAGGAGAAAGGAGATGAGATTTCAGGCTTTCATATTTATAACAGTGTCCCCACTGTCAACTCATAGAACTGTCTTTTAATTATGATAGAGAAGCACACCAAGAAATTTAATATAAAAAGGTCTGAAACCGTCTCTTTCCTCTCTCATTCAGATTCAGGCATCTCCCAGCAATGGGACCAACATCCCTGTGGCCTCACAATCATCCCAGGACAGACAATCTGCAAGTGAGATTTACTTTTCCCTTCCTCATCCCCTCCCACCCTTCACACCCAAGTTGGTTTGTCTCATTCATTTACTGCCTTTTGTCATAACCTAGACCCAGAGCCTGCAAAGACTTTGGCATAAAAGTAACTTTATCCACTGCAGCTGTGGAGGCTACATGGCTTGGGAGCATATGCCCTGCAGCTCTCTAGCTGGGAGAGAGAAACCCAGGTGCCCCAGATTAGCCCATTTTTGTGAATTTGGGACTGAATGTTGTGACCTTTGGTAAATCATGAATTCATGTGAAACGTCCTGATGCCTGGGCCCCTGCTACATTTGCTCCATTTGTCTCCTTTTCACTAGTTATTAAATTAAGTAATGAGAATTGGTACAAGGGTCATTTCTTATACATAAATTTGGACAGACCGAGATTTTGCATTTGTACTGAGTGACTTGGCTTTGGCTTTGTGAGCAGTTTGCTTGACATAAGGGAAATGTTGCCTTAAGTGACCTTGATATTAAGTGATGTGATCATAAGTTGCTATGTGGGACAAAGATATTTTCACCACACAATGTGTTTAAAGACAACAGACACCCAAAATGTACTGCCCAGGAGCAGTTAGCAAAGTCCAAAACCTCTATGCAGAGAACTGGGTCACAGTGACCTATACATAATCTGTGGCAATAAACCAATCAGAAAAGAGAACAATAACATGAAAATAGCTTGTATAGCAAAAGCCCTGCCAATTAAAATGTTCATGCAT